AAGGAGAAGGAGATCTACCAGCGGTGGATGAGGATTGAGTCAGGTAGTACTCATCAGATCTCAACCCATACAAGCCCATGGGATCAGACTGGCTGCACCATGGGTGCTGCTGCTGACGGGGCTGCTGGTATCCTTGCAAGGCCACGGAGATCAGGGAAGACACCTGACAGCTGGGGAAAGGCAGATGTTGTGCTCATCTTTGACGAAGGCCAAAGGAACAATCTAGGGAACTACTGGCAGGTCAGCCTCCCTTCGGTCCTTTGGAAAATCAGGGACCAAGTCCCTGGAGAACGTTTCTGGGCACTTACGTCAGAAGTTGGTAACTGGGAACAGTCAGCCAGAACTTACCAAGGGTAAATCAGGCCTGACCAACTTGATTGTCTTGCATGTTAAAATGAAAGGGGACAATGCCTTGGCTGGACATAACCCTGAGCAACCCAGTCTGACCCCATGGCTGACCCTGCTTTGGGCAGGATTTGGGTCTCTAGTCCTCCCCAGGTCCCTTCCCTTACGAAGCAGGAGCTCCCATTAAAGGGAGAATGCAAAGTTTCAGAGCATGCCAGCCTGGACTGCCTGGTTAAACAGCAGATCCCAGTCAAGGCTCAGTTTGCTTTTGGGCTGTAACAGGGGAGCATGAGGTGAGAGTAGCCAGGGAGTGTTTTAGACATGCCTTTTCTGAATAGCTCAGGTTAATCTCTCGGGTCTAACAGACTGTTCATGTATTAGAATTACTCTTTTCCAGCGTTTTACCGTATGAAATTTGTTTAATGAACAGATAAAAGGAACAGACAGTCTTTGACCTACATGACAACTTTGAAAGGTGCATTTCTAACATATTTGACGTGCTCCAATTATTTAGGCATTATGAAAAAATTTGCAGTAATACAAGCTGCCAATAAGGCATATTTCATATACTAGTGGTAAGAAGAGAGTTCCTTATCATCCCCTTGATTTTGTGACCCAAAAATGATGAAAAGGTGTGAGAGGTCCTAATACTTGAGCCAACAGTCACCTGGAGGAGAGAACTTGACCCAATAGACTTCCCCACCACTCTGCTGATATTTGATGTCCACACATCCACACTGGATTAAATAGTAATTAGCTGAAACCTCTTATTACAGCATTAAAATCTGTAATGATATATAACTCTGCATAGCTGTTCTTGGTACAAATCTTTTTATCTCCTCTGGTAGGGGCCTCTATTAGGAGGAACTGGTCTACCTAAAGCTACTGCATTGGGCATAGGCAAGCATATCCCTTCACTAATTCCAGCTGGCTTTTGTTACATATTATGTGAAGCAAAATGATGTAGAGATCTGTCAGATGCTTTGTCTCTCCCCCCTACACACCAAGTTTCTCTAAAATTGTAGCTGCCGCTGCAGAGTCCTAGGTATTTGTACAGAAGGGGGCCTTCTTAGCTTTTTAGAGGCCCATGTGACAGGGCAAGAGTCATGCTGACTTTCAGTAAGGTACCCAATTTATCTGGAGGCTGTCAGAAAGTCTTGCATATGGGCATGCTGCATAGCCCTGTGAGTCACCATCCCTCCCAACTGTTCGGTCTATCTAACTCCCCGAACTTAGATGATGATGTTGTCCGACTAAATTTCATTTTGCTCTTTTTATGGTATGCCTCATGCTAGGCTTTAGTTACACAATGGTGAGGCACACCCTCCATCAGCACCTCGATACATTGTGGAATATTTTGCTTTATTCCTGCTATCCTTTGCATGTACCTCAGTCATGATTTGGACAAAAATATTGGCATCAGCTCGGGAGATAATATAATTAATTAGTTCCTAGGTCTTCCTATT